GAGATCATGAGTCAATTGAAGCTAAATTGCCATGAAAAACCTGGAAGCACTGGACGGCCGTTTCTTCCTATTGTGGGACTCCTCAGCGGTGTGCATCCACGATCCCGCCTCTCGAGATTCGAACTCAGGACCTATCCACGATATCCACTTCTGATATTATAAATTAATTTACAAATAAGAAGCGCAGATGCATCCACTCTTTGTGTTCTCCTAAATTCTAATCTTCCGAATTCATGTTTCTTTCTTTTTTTCTCTTTCCAAATTTATTTCACTGGATTATACTCCTAGCAGCAGTCTCTGCATCAGTAAGCCTCAGAATACACAAGGGTAAAACCAAGGTCCTCAAATTCAAAACGGAGAACAGCAGTCCAATCACTCTTGATGGCGAAACTCTGGAAGATATAGGATCCTTCACATACCTGGAAAGCATCATCGATGAACAAGGAGGTTCAAATGCAGACGTAAAAGCGAGGATTGGCAAAGCAAGGGCCGCATTCCTACAATTGAAGAACATATGGAACTCAAAACAGCTTTCAACCAATATCAAAGTCAGAATCTTCAATACGAACGTCAAGACAGTTCTAGTGTACGGAGCTGAAAGGTGTTGAACTACAACAACCACCATCAAGAAAGTACAAGTATTTATAAATAGCTGTCTTCGCAGGATACTCAACATCCTTTGACCGGATACCATCAGCAATAGCCTTTTGTGGGAGAGAACAAAGCAGGTTCCAGCTGAAGAGGAAATTAGGAAAAGACGATGGAAATGGATAGGACATACATTACGCAAATCACCAAACTGCATCATAAGGCAAGCGCTAACTTGGAATCCTGAAGGGAAGCGGAAAAGAGGAATGCCATAGAACACATTACGTCGGGAAATAGAAGCAGATATGAAAAGGATGAATAACAACTGGAAGAAGCAAAAAAGGATTGCCCATGACAGGGTTGGATGGAGAATGCTGGTGAGCGGCCTATGCTCCTTCACGAGGAGTAACAGGCGTAAGTAAGTAAGGATTATACTCCTGGAATAAGATCTTCAAACCCTAATGTTTCCGACTACTGCTTATACTTTTATTACCTCTACCACTACGTGATTTGAATCGACAACTGCATCTCTGTGCTAATGTGGTATGACAACTCTAACCGATGTACGTACGTAAGAAGTTCTACGTGGTTGTTACCGACTGACTAACTGACTGAAGTTAATCTAGTGATTATTCTATAAGCTTTCATGTTCTAATGATTTATTTCTATTCTCAGGTTGTGCTTATTCAATTTTATTTGTACTATTAAACTAATTGACAATATGAGAAAAAACATGACTTTAAAGGTTACATATATAGATAGATATATAATCACTATATTAATATTATCATACTTCAATAATAATACACTTGACAACAATGAAATCTGAAATCAGTAAATAAAGTTGAAATATTTTTGTCTAAAGCACTTTTTTTTGTTCACTCTAATTTGAGAAACATGTGATACTGAGGTCAAATTTTTAATAATAAAAAAACAAAACAAACACATTTCTATGGTTAAGATCATGAGTCAGTTGAAGCTAGACCACCATGGAAAACCTGGAAGCACTGGACGGCCGTTTCGTCCTGGGTTCGAATCTCGCAGGGGGCGAGGTCGTGGATGCGCACTGCTGAGGAGTCCCACAATAGGACGAAACGGCCGTTCAGTGCTTCCAGGTTTTCCATGGTGGTCTAGCTTCAACTGACTCATGATCTTAACCATTGAAATTACTACAATCTCCACAAAAAGAACCCATCTGATATTAAACACATTTCTATCTTGACTTCATACAGTTTCTCTCCGCCTCTCTCTCACTCAATAGTTTGTATCTTTTGATGATTTCTTTTCATAGTATTTTAAATATAAACTATGAAATTGTATTTTTATTAAAGAACTTGTTTAATAAACCTATTCCCTATCTTGATATTTATTACTTCATTCTACTTATCATTTAAGTTGTTTCTAATTGATATTCATAATGTAAGTATAGCGCTTCTCAACAAGTTCAGTACACTGAGTGTTATTCCTCTCTTCTTTTTTTTGTCTTCTATCACTTGGTGTTTTGAATTGTGCGATGTTAAATCAATGTACAAGTGTGTCAATTTCATGTATCCAATTGATATCATTTGCTTCAGGATATTGGTTTGATTGAGTTAATGGTAGATTATCATGGTTGAAATCGTTAACTTCGATTCAAACGATACATTTGATACCGAAAATTCCATAGAATCAGTTCGATCGATTTCATATTAACTGAAAAAAAAAACAATTAAGTGTAATGACCTGTAACCTACGACGAAACGATGAAATACATTTATTATATTCAACTAATGGCCATAAACAAATTGTGTTTAGTCAGTAATAATACTGTAATGTGAACGAGAACACAAGTGAGGACAATCGAATGCAAAATTACAGAACATCTTAATAAAATCTTTGAACAATGTAGTAAATACTTTATTTGCAAAATGTCAATCAATTGTCTCAAACTTCATTGTTCTTTTGTTTTCACACAAATTATTCTTTGTTCTCGTTCACTTTACTTTGATCTTAACTTTCTGCCTCTAGACATTTCACTTCCGATTGATGATACTTACTGTCAACATCAATAGCGTACATCACAATACCAGTATATCTGCCAACTTGATCATTGACGATAACTAATTTAACGAGATTTATTAAGATAAATCATTCTAGGTTGTTTATCTGTATTTAATCTTTATTCTCAAAATAAGTAGTAAGTTTAGCTAACTGTAAAATGTAAAGGCATTTATTCTGTATGTATGTCTAAGTGGTTATAAATTAATGTAAACGTTCACTGCTAAAGTACAGGTTTATGTATATTTCTTAAAATCATTTCTCAACAAATAAATAAATTTCAACAGTTGAGATCATGAGTCAATTGAAGCTAGACCATCATGGAAAACCTGCAAGCACTGGAAGGCCGTTTCGTCCTATTGTGGGACTCAGCACTGCTCATCCACGACCCCGCCTCGCGAGATTTAAATCCAGGTCTTGTCAGTCTCGCGCCAGGCGCTTAACCAACTAGACCACTGAGCCGGCATCCAAAGGTGTTGATGTCTAACTTCAACTAATCCACGAAATTGAGCGACACATCCACCATTGTCATCAGTGAGTTACTACCTCACAACTGACCCGGTTGAACTCCACTGGTCACTGCTCCTCACGAGGTTGATAGGTCCTGCGTTCGAATCCCGCGAGGCGGGATCGTGGGTGCGCACTGCTGAGAAGTCCCACAATAGGACGAAACGGCTGTTCAGTGCTCCCAGTTTTTCCATGATGGTCTAGCTTCAACTGACTCATGATCTCAACTGTTGAAATTACTACAATCTCCACAAAACTCCTTCCGATACAAATAAATAAATATTCATAAATGAGCAATTGATAGAATTCGGTTTCCTTGAATAAAATGAGGGTTGTTATACTACACATTCTATTTTGTTATCAAAACTAATTGTTTTTAATCCATAATCTCATTATAGAAAAGAACTTGTTCATTTGTAATAATTAATTAATTAGAATAATAATTCCGTTCAGAGTCATTAGAAATTCAAAGCTTATAAGTATAGTTTAGAATAAGATTTTTATCGTTAAGTACCTATAAGAGAAGTTAAGTTTCCTGATTAAGATTAGGATAAACAAATTTTAATATTCAATCTGTTAGTCCACCATTGAAAACCTGGAAGCATTGGATGGCCGTTTTGTCCTGGTGTGAGTCTCCTGAGCACTGCTCATCCACGGTCCCGCTCACGGGATTCGAAACTAACACCTTCGGTCTCGCACGTGAACGGTTAATCGCTAACCAGTAAGCTGGTATCTAACAGTGTTAATGTCTAACTTCAACCAATTTACGTTGTTGCTTGACCATTTCCCGGTAGGTAAGTGCCTCACACCCAACACAGTTGAACTTTACTGGTCACGGCTTCTCACTGGAACTCCGAAAATTACCTCTCGAATCTAATCACTAGTGAGCATATGATATTATCAATATAGGGTTATGGACTAGGACAAAAAGGCCGTACAGTGCTTCCAGGTTTTCAATGGTGGTCTAACATGATCTCAATAAGACCTCAACAATTTTCACAACCCTATACTGATGATGATATCTGATACTTTCTACTGGTGGTAGTCTCCTGATATCAGTCTATGATGAAAGATGCTTTCAAATTTGATAACTTTCTTCACACATTATGATTACAATTAATTATCGAAAGTAACGAAAAGATAATACTTTTCGAATAACATCTCTAATTGATGTTTCTCTTAGATTTAGTCTTTTTTGTATGATGGTAATAGTCATGTAATCATGTATACATTTGCTTCTAATATACTTCTCGTACACAATAGTTGTATTTCTTATGAATTTTAAGTCTTTTTAATAGTATTATCAAAAAGACCAAACAGAATATAACTGGACAGATAACGGAAGTAGTTATTCGAATAGTAGGTTTCTGTGTGTTATCAAACTAGTTTGTAGTTATGGTTGTTATCATGTTTCATATTTCAGTTAATTGTGTTGAATTTTTTTCACGTGAAAATGGGTTCTTTCCTTTCATAAGAGATCGAAACTAAGCTAGAAAGTTATCCGTTTGAGAAGATTTGATAGTTGGTGTTTTAGGACACTTTAGGTTCATTTTAAATGTATATGTGAAAGTTGGTTTGGTCTTCTTAGTTTATTGTTGATATGGTATGTTGAACTAATTCAATATGCTCCTCATTTGATGAAATATTTTTGTAACATAGAGTTCTTTAGATTTATTGTTCATTGTGAGGCCTGCAGGTCTTTAGTTCGATTCCTGATTAGGTCATATACACCAACCCCATAGATGTCTAATAAAATTTGTGCCATTATGTAAACTGTTTCCATTGGTGATTTTAAATTATATTCTGCCTAAATGTTATAATGAAAGTACTAATCAGTGTTTTTTTTCGACGTTTTTGTTATCAAATAGAACCTTAGATTTACCCCCTGCATATACAGATGTTGTAAAACTATCTCCCATTGAAACCGAGTCTAACAACAATAATAATAATAACTCAACAATACCGGATGCATTTCGTTTTAATTTATCACCAAATGAACAAATCACAAATCCTTCTTTTTTATCTAAATCATCCTCAAATCAAACTGGTCGATTCAATTCTACATTGTACACTAGTGAACAGAATGCTACATCAAGTCAAATTTTAAATGTAAAATCATCGAATACAACACCACCTCCACCTAGTTATGAAGAGATTGTCGCAGCGACAAATGCAATGAAGACAAATCGTGAAAATGATGATTCAATTATGTCAGGGAATGAAATGAATATTGCTCAAGTTAGTCTTCAAACAGAAGATACCGTTACTACTACTACTAATAATAATAATAATAATACGATTACAACTTATAGTGGTAGTAATTTGAATACTGAACGAACAGAGACTAATTCCTCGTAATTTCTGCAAAAAACTTTAATGCTGAAAATGTTTGTTTTTTTAATTTGATTTCTTCTGCCTCTTGTACTACTACTGTTGATTCTTTTGCCAATCTTGCTATAAGTAGTATCGGTTTTGTTTCTTCAATAAAACAATTCACTTATTTGACATATAAATTCTCAGTGCTTTTCGCTTATTCCAGAAATTAAATCTCTCCTTTTTTCCGTTTTTTCTTACCATTTGATCATTCTTTTCAGTTTCTATATTCGCTTAACAATTCAATAAATCAGAATGATTATTACCTTCTCTTGCTCTATTTCCCCACTCCTTAAGTAGAAAACTATCTATCAAATTGATACTCAATGATGATCACTCTCTGTCTTGTATTTATCTAACAACATACTATTTCTGATTGTAAATGAAAGTGTTGATAATAATGATGTGTTTGTTCATAGGACCCTCCATGAATGATAAGAAAATTGAAAAGTTTATTGATAGGGATTCCCGATTCTATTATTTACTTTATTATTATTATTACTACTACACTTTGTATAGTTCATATTGTTTATTTGAACAAGTCTTGTTCCTTGGGTTGTATCTATTCTTTTTTTTAAAAAAATTTCGACTTTTCTCTATTTATGGTGTATCTATTGTGATATGGAGTGAGAGATTCTCTTCTAGTTGTGGTCTTTCAATCATGAAAGAAAATTGATGGATAAGAATTAGGAAGAAGAAGAAGTTATAGAATTTTATGAAAATGTAAGTTATAGTTGGTTTTTGTATAATTGATGAGAAAAACAAAAAGGGGGGGACAACTGATGCACTGTAATATCTTACATTTTTCATATTTTATATGCATTACCCCATACATGCATTTATGTATGTGTGTGTGCGTGTATGTATAAAACAGTCCTTACTATCTTTTCTTTTTCAATTCATTCATATGTATGTTCTCGTTTTGTGATTTATTATTATGAAGACAATCATGAATGGATTTGTCTTATTATATATGGCAAAATCTGGTATATATATATGTATACTTGTATCCATGTCTACATTTCTGGTCAGAGGTTGCTTATTATTGAAAACGTATAAGGTGAATTACAGTCATTATAAAAAAAAATAATATTTTGTCACTGAGTAAATTAGAGTTTTACTCAACTATTGATCATATTGTTTCACTTAGGTTACTTAGAATAGTAGTAAGAAACGGTTAATTCACTATACACTAACTGTTATCATTTGAATAGTTAACTAATGTTTATTTGAGTTCATGAATAAAATTTTTTTAATTTTATTGAGATCATGAACCGGCCATCCAGTGCTTCCAGGTTTTCAATAATGGTCTAACATCAATCGGTTTATGATCTCAATCAAAAAAGACTTTACAATCTCCACAACCCCTAAACTGATAAGATTATTTGTATTGAGCAGAAAATTATTGTAATGTGACTAGTTAGTAGTAGATCGATAATTATCTTGAAGAAGGTCAGACAGGTTTGCTAAATGAAACGTTGGAATTAGTTAAATTTTAATCTTTGAAATTCTTTCAAATCTAATGACTTCTTTATACTCAGCGCCTAATTTTTTGTCATACTATTTGTATCAAATAGTTAGTAGATCGTTTTTTTTTTCGATTCCACAAAGGTGATACGTCTTATTTGTAACAGAACAACATGAATAATTCTAGGATTTATTTCTATTGTAATGAATTGATCATTGTTAATAGATTGTAAACCTACCATTCTAACTTTGTAATTTACGGAAAATGTAAGTATCAGTAATCATAGTAACAATGATAATTTGTCATCTTATTTTAAATGAAGTAAATCTGGGTACTTGTATGAATTCCAGTCTACTCTGACCTCCTAATATGGATAGTTTCAACATCAGAATAATGGAAATAAGACAGTAAAGCTTGGAAATTTTATTTTTGATCTATGAATAATTTTATACTGTCATATCCCAAGTGATGTATGTTCTTGTTGAATAGGTAAGGTCAGTTATACAATGAAAGTTCGCGATCATTTTCAATTGTGTTGTAGAATATCTTATAATAACTGAATTTAAGTTATATTTGTTGTCATAAGAGATAGTAAAGATGGTAAATACTATGAAAACCGGATAATCTCCATTTTGCATAATTTGTTCGATTTGAAATTTTGTCCGTTTTTGTGATGTACGGTCAGTAAAGTGTCACTGAGCCATAGACAGATCATCTGGCAGTTGCGTCACTAAATATCGAACAGATCATCAATCCCTGTCAAAGTTAAGGACAACCAACGCGCATCAGTTAATCGTATACCATGAACTAGCCCATGCGGTGGTGGTCTCACTAATATATTTTCATAATAGTGTCCTTTGTGTTGTACGGTCTTCAAAGTAGCCATAGTACCTTGATACAATGAAGGGGTAATCCACATAAGGTGCTGACTGCGAGGTGTGATTTCGACACCATTCCCGTCTAACTTGAATAGACCCCCAACCACTTAACATAGATCATCTACGTTGGTGATCTACAACGATATCCATCCTCCATGAAGTCCCAATATAAAATTAGCAATAACAAATAATATTCTGTATGCAACGTGTACAATTTATACGACTATTAATTAAACGTTCGGACGAATATTTTAACAGAAATTGGGTGCAAAATAGTATACAGAAGATATTTCAGCGTTTAAAATTTAAATAATTCCAACATCTTGTCTAACAAACTTATCCGAACTTCTGGATAGTAATCAGAATTATTAAAAAATGCATAATAACTAACAATCAAATCAAAATCTACAATAAATGCTTAATCCAATCATATTCAGATGTTGAATTTAGTAAGAAAGAGATGAACTAATAACATGTGAACCATTAGTTAAACGTTATATTTATATCTATCCTGTTTATATTATATGTGACCTTTTTACCGACTGAACATTTTTAATATCATTACTATGTATTTGATAATTTTCACATTTTACATCGATATTTTAAAAAACATTTCCAATTTGTGCTATTTTCACTTTTTAATAAAAAGGTTTATTTTTATTTATTTTATACATAGATATTAGTACAAGGAGGCACCAAATACATATGCGCCACACAAATCTTATTTGATATGTGTGAGGGCTGTAATACTGCCCGAGTGCCTAAACCGAAGCAGGTGATTTTCTTAGGGGGCCACTCCCCGAGCCTTCGACCTGAAGGTCTGACCCACAAGGCAGTGGAGCAACGTGTGGAGATGCAGTCCCATGGTAGGTGTTGACCAACGATTTGTTCATACGCCATTTGTTCCCGCAGGATACCGGAGCCCATGTGCACCACTGATTTGTTTTGGGATCCGGTTAAAGCGCCGGACATTCGCTTTTCATCTTCTCATTTTCGTGGACAACACCCCCGCCACGAGAAGGCAGTGAGTAAGACTTCCCTGGCAGAGGTTATATACGCATGGCGATGTGAGAGCATTTCGAGAGGGAGAGCGGACTCTCCCCACTCTCGGTCGTACCAGGGCGTTTGGGGGCTTTTAATCTGGCCACAGCCTAGTCCGGTCTAGATGACTTGATTGAGATGCTGCGGTGGGTTGTGCTTGAGTCGTGACTTAATGTCATTTTAATAAACAGACGATTAACATTCATTCACTGAATGAATATCAACTATTATAATAACATAGAACTACGCATACAGAAACATTGATTCCTATATTATCCTACTTATTTAAGTCGACATCTGAATAAAGCGGCTTCTAAATTACTACATTCAATATGGTTACACAAAAAGTAAATTATCTTTTCGACAGGAGTACTAGGTAAGGGAGAATTAACATCTAAGTCATTCATTTTGAAAGATTATTGATTTGAGACTTTTGTTCTTTTAACAGAAGTTACTTAGTAGTTCGTAGCAATCACAAACAGTAGATTTGTGCTATTCGAAATTCTAGTACAAGGCTATGATATCTTGCTTATCTGCTTACACCAATACATGACTTTTAGATTATACCAGAAATTTGTTGTAACTCTGTTAATGATATAACCCTTTATCATAAACTTTTACATGTCAATGAAATTATTGCAAAACGTTAATCCTGACCTTTACCAAACTTATTTATCGAAGAAACAATTAATTCGCAATAGGTTTTCATGATTAGATTTAATGTTTTCCAAGTCAATTTGTGTTGTGATGAGTGGTGTCCGAAGTCTGATACTAGTGATACGTGCAACGCGCCAGCCCTCCTCCCAACTGACTACTTGAGCGAGGTATATTCGGCCACCGAATAAACTGCACAAGTACTCGTCTATATATAGAGAGAACTCTACGGCCCAAGAGATAAATCAATTTCTTAGTCAGTGATATGCACTTGTTCTTCGGGTCACTTCTGATTGCCATCGATTGGCCGCCTCATTTGACTACTTTTGATTGGCTTACCATCTCAATTTGCTTCGAAATAAATAATATGCTAGTTCAATCACGCAGGCCAAATGACTGGTGATGGTGCTAACGTGCACACGTTGTTGGTTAAGATTCGGCTAAATATTTTGAGGAAACGGATAAAAGTCTAGCATAAGGGACAAGTCAATGAGAATCAAGGGTGTGGTCTTAAGGTCTTTGCGCGAAATCCAAATATTATGTGTAATAAACTGTAGAAATACCTTTGTACACTGCTCAAGACGTTTAAAATTATGACGAAAAACTACTTTTCACCACCTAAAGTAAAAACGATAATGATAAATGTACCACACTCAAGCTCCTTTCTAAAGACTTGATAACGTCCAAATAGTCAGATCCCTAAATCCTGATACAAATCTTAATCCAATGGCACCATGTTTCATAGATGAACTAATCGAATAGCGTCCCTTAAATTTTGCTTAAGATCCACTTATTCATACAGCTATAAATCATGTTTGGTGTGTAGTTGATGCCATTCTTTGATGAAAACGCTAATCCTAAGCGAAGAATAATGCAGGGACTTTCGAAAATCCCCCAAGAATTCGAAAAGCAGGATAATCTATACCCGTAAGGAACGATCGTTGTCGCTTTTAATTGATTTGAAAAGTAGCATAGAGGACTTTAACAGACCAATTAATTACGCTTTGCGATATTATTTACTTTTCCATGAAACATCGACTTATGAAAGCTGACTTCAGAACAATAATTTGTTGTCGCCTATCCCCGTACTATTTTCGCACTCAAGTAGAAGGTTTGACTCGTATATAGGAAGTACCAAACCAAATCAAATGCCCTGGTACGGCCGAGAGTGAGGAGTCAACTCTCTCTCTCTCGAAATGCTCTCACATGTCCACGTGCATACAACCACTACCACAGAGATCCTACTCACTGCCTTCTCGTGGAATTACTGTTGTTTACGAAATTGAGAGGATGAAAAGCGAATGTCTGGTGCATTAACCGGGTTGGTGGACGCGGTGAGTTCACCTAGGTGAGTTGGAAAACCGTGATTCTAACCCCGTGGTGCACATGGGCTCCGGTATCCTGTGGGGACAAATTGCGTATGAACGAACCGTTGGGTACCGAGTATCATAAGACTGCATCTCCTGACGTTGCTCTACAGTCTTGTGGGTTAGACCTTTAGGTCAAAGAGTCGGGGTGTGGCCTCCTAAGAAAACCATCTGCTTCGGTTTGGGTACCCGGTCAGTATCCTAGCTCTCGCACAAATCGAATGATTTATGTGGCGTTGTACCAATGTTCATGTGTTTAAATAAATAAACTGCATATAGTAAAACATGTCAATTAGCAACATAAAGTATTTCTTTATGTTTTCACGCAAAAACATATTTGTTATTATTCACTTACTAGTGATTAACATTCGGATATGATAATTTATTGATATGAATAACAGACCTAATTTGAAATAAGGAAGCTTACGAAATAATTTGTATGAAGACATAAATTTTACATATTTTTTCTACAAAGAGTTAAGATATGCAGCACGTGATAAACAATGTGGCTAAAAAGAATAAAATGAAATAGTCAACCACCGATGATTATCACATTCGGTTGCAAGTTGATTAGGAATGGACAATATAGAAGAGCATACTCCGAGTTAGCGGCTTAATAGCACAATACTACCTGCGAAATCGGGCTGTTAGTTTGACTCAAAATAGGCTTCTGTAGAGACTCATACTAGAATACGATAGTTGCTCAGTGCCACCAGAATATCAATAGTTTACCAATAGACAGTTAGTCCTGACAAATTATCTTTTCAAAACACTTCTGTCCAGCTGTTGTAGTATACATCAGAATCCTACAGTAACGTTTTTGTTGGCAACTTACGTTGCACAACTATCAACGTACGTAAACCAGTTTTCGTTTCTCTCTATCCCAGTACACTTTGAACACAACTGCTCAAAACGAGTGTCAATTTATTTTTGAGTTGTGGTCGTGAATGAGTTTGCTGTATCTACTGATTTGAATCGTTGACTGAAAGTTGAGTTGATGGTCGTCTTACTGATAGACTCGTACCCTTCCACATCCAGAATTCAGATTAAATTATTTCCTCAATACTTTGATCTACCTTATGGTGTTTATTCCGTGTACCTAGGATCAAAAAATGAAAAAATCATTTTCACGTTAGATAAGGGATCCACACTTCATGTAGTATGGGATATAGTAGATTATCTACTCAAGTTATGGTAACTTTTAACTCCTGTTATCCTCACATCACTATAGATTTTTGTAATACCAGGTCTGAAGTAATTAGCATGGGTAGTGATTTTGTCATGTTTATTTAAAAATCAATGAGGATGACATTTAGCCGACAAGAAAAACTGACAATAGAGTTCATTTCAGTGAGAATAATCTGAACAGGCAGGATAAGAATGTCGAGTGTTACTAACTTCTAGTAATTTTATTGTAATCCTCATTCAAACTGTTCTGAAGAGAAATGTCAGTTCATCAATAAATGAAAGCAGTTTACAGGAACTAACAAAATCCGCCGACAATTAACTACTTCAGAATCTGATAAAGCAACATGTAAGCCATCATCGTAGATCAAGCAGACGTTTTAATTATTGAATATTCCGAATCCAATAAGTAAATTTAAAACTTGTAAATGAATATTACTTTGAAACAGATTACTGGTAACTCGAGGAAACTATATTTCTGATTAGGTTAAAAGTATACTGAAGACTTATCAGAACTGTACGGTAAAAAAAATAAGTAACAATCGGAAGTACTCCCACTTGAAAACCGTTAGGCCTAATGTGATTATTGCATTTGTGCAATACATATATTTCCTAGAATACTGATCGTATTTGTAATATTACTGACGTTTTATTTCTGTTTTTTGTACGTCAGAAGCACTGTTTAGCGATTATCAATTATTTAAAAATTAACACAAGCTTAAAAGTTGTGTTAATGTCGACTATTTATTTACTTTGGAGAAGTGGCTTACATTAAGTCACGAATTGTCAGGAGTACAATGTTTCTACTCATTGGGATACAACAAAACATATCTACCCAATGCTCTATTTATTTGAAACTGCCAAGTTTATCCGTGGTATTGATATCCGAAAAGCTTATGTTAACTGGCGGAAAGAAGCGAAGCTTAGTAAGTTTATAAGGAACTCCGTCTGGTATCTAAATGCAACTGATTTGAAGGTACATAGTTCGAAAACGTGAATAAATCAATTTGACCCAAAAAACTATAGTACTAATCAAGCAAAACAAGAACTGTTCGGCAAATACTTTATTAATGAATTTATTCCTGGCAAGGTAAGTATACTAGACATTAGAAACACAATATAGCGGTTAAAAATCTAATTTCTGGGAAACTAGCTAGAACAAACTGCAGCGTCCTGGATAACAACAAGTTTTAGGTGGTTGTAGTACTAAATATGAAATAACGAATATGTGTCAAGACAGTGTAGCGACCAAATGGATTAGATTGTTACTTCGAATAAATTACATAACATACACCACTGAAGTCATTACGGTAATCCATCTGTAACGTAGAATCTAGTACATATGTGGGACAGTTCAGCTTGCTACACCAAATCGGCAAGCTGAACTGTCCCGATTGAAAATACGAAGACAGATCTCATAACACAACTAGTAAAAGCATTAATAGTAGTATAAAGAGTAGGTACGTAGGGATATTCGGGCCTGTGGTTGTAAAAAAAGATAAAGAGTGAGTGTATCTGCATTAGTATGAACGACTATGAGTCATGTCACTCAGCATCAACAACCAATCGCTACAAAATCGTACAACAAAGTCCACAACTTATAACAGAGAATACAAAGGCCTCTCAATTGACAGTTACGTCTAAAGATCGCATCTTGCTGAAGCTACAGAAAATAAATATCAGTAATAACACTGGTCATCATTTACAGTAAAAGGTATTATAAAGTACCACGAAACAAATGGAGCACGCAAAACTGTCGCAGCTGTGTGTGCTAGCACATGCAATCTTTGCATGCTAGTAATTAATCATCCTGTGGTGTGAAAATATCATACTCTTCCAGGAGTTCAGCACCTGTCCTGCTAATCACTGACCCGATAAATATAAAAGGAATTCCCACAGCCAGAGATCGTAGTATACCAAACCTCATTATATGTGGGCGGTCACAAAAAGCACCACTAGCCTACAAAGTTAAATAATTCTCAGTGAATTACTCACATACTTTGTAGGCCCCTTTATATGTTGCATCGAAAGACATACAGCGCTTCACAAACCCCAACATGACCTCTAACTACAAACCGCGCTCTTGTGGCTTCAAACATGTCAAGTCTTCAATAACTGAGATATCTATTTTTATAATACTTTATTGTAAAATGATTGGTTTCTAGTGCTATCGTGCTTTTTTTAACCTCCGGAGCGTTTCTTAAAAGTTGTCTAGACACAAGTCTTAGTGAACTCACCAACACCAGGTAAAAATCAAGGTATATTTATCAAATAAAAGATGAGTGTCTGTAAATTTTGATGAAATAACATCCTCGGTTCTTGATAATATGTCAATTTTCCTCTTGAATGACTGGCGCGAAACTCCATGGATCACCTCAGCACCTGATGTATTCCAGATTTTAACTATATTTAAGGAGTAGAAAGGGGTGATCTTATCCGCAACGCAACCATGCAAACTTAATGTATCGCACACTGTCATTTGTGCGTTCAAGTAACCACAGATTTTGTCATTTCATAATGTATTTTTAATTAAATAACTAGATTATGTAGTTAATTTTGCTCTGTTTTTAATTTTTATTCGCCACGTCCGACTGCGTTACACTGTATGTCCATTGCACGCTGGGATGATATCTCAAGTAATAGTGAGTTTATTCACATAGTTGATTGTTTCCAGAAAGACAGTCAGTGCATGATTTTACTGAAGAAAGGTTTGTTGTACTGTAAACTATGTTTCTATGAACAACTGCCTGTTGTCTTCAGTATGAAAGCAGTATAAGTTCAACTGGCCTATATTTCGTGTTTTGGTTTTATCGGCTGAAAAATGTCCATTTAACTACTTTGAGCAACATGTCTTTGCAAGTGAAACAATAACTATGACACTTGCTTAGTTTAGTGTTCTTGGTTGTCGTATAATTCAGTTTAGTTGAAAGAATTATGATATACTTAAGTATAGTGCCTGAAGCCTGTAACGAAACAGATCAGTTTAGTAAGTAGAGTTGCCTGTTTCCAATGTGTATACGGATTCAGATCAGTCTGATTAAAAATAGGAAAAAACGTGCCTTTGATGCTGTTGCTGTCATACATTATAAGACAGCGATAAGTATGTTTGGTGTTTATTTCGAAACTGTACATCTATCACTGACCATATTTCATGATCACTGTCATTAAACAATTCCCCCAGCAATAACATCGATAGCAAGATAGCTAAGTGTCTGAGCTTCTAGTTGTTCGCTAAACAACAGTATACAGTCTTAGAAGATGAGTGTTCTGTGTCTCAATTAAATGCAGCTGGCTGTGGACAAATGTTAAGAATCTTTTTGACAACTGGTACTTTTAGTTTATCAGACACTAACTCTGCTTGTATGTCTTCCTGTTAAACTAGACGCAGATGCATGGGAATACTTAAATGGGAGCAAAATAATAAAAGCATTGCAATACGGTACTAAGCCCATGTTATGCTTTGCGCAAGTAATAGTAGCTGACCTTATCTAATATTCATGAACTCAAGGTAAATCACAACTGCATAAATTCTTTGCTAAAAAACATGTGATTTGGTTATTTATCTATTCCACATTTCTGACTAAATTCATCACTATTTTTTTCATTTAGAATGCAACAGGAGTGAGCCTTCACAGGCGCTAAAAACTGTTTCGCCCTTGGAACTATGGCCCTATGGAACTGTTTACGGGCGACCCAACAAACAGCAGATTATAAAAAGGATGCTGGACGTCCATTTTAGTCTCACAACCACTTCCAGTATTTTTTGACTTCTTTTACTCTTTCGTTTGGAAAAAAACAACAAAAACTGCAGCTTAACATTACCAATACAACTTTTAAACGGGAACTTGGTTTAAACCTTTGTTCGATATTCGATTCTTAATGAAAGTTCTTGAATAATTTTTTGAATCTAATGCTACTTTGTTTTATCTACTTAATCGTTGCAAGAAACTTGTGATAAGCGAGCCTCTCAGCACCTAGTTCATGTGTTCAAATGGTTGTGGACTGAATAGAAGAAGCTTTCGCTTAACAGGCTTCCGTGTCTAGTAGCAGGGGATCACCAAAACCTCAAGGCAGGAAACTAGGTATGTTAACAATAAAAGAGGAAAAAGAAATTGGTAAATCATAGTATGATACTATTTTTAGTCCTTCAGAATAGATCCAGTTGCCTCTTAAAGGACTCCTGGGAAGTCGCTTGGACTAGCTCGTTCGGCAGAAAATTCCAGCATTTGACAACTCTTAAGGAGTGGAAGTTGTGCCTACAGTTCGTTCTGCTACGTTGTGTCTCTAGTTTCTGGGTGTTACCCCTTAGGTTAGTGTTGGAACTAAGCTTAATTAGGTGTTTTAGGGGATGTCCAGAAGCGTTAAGGTTATTGTAAGCCATTAGGTCACCTCTAAGATGTCTATACTCTAATGAGTAGAGGTTAAGTCATTGGAGGCGCTCTCCATAAGGTGATTTGGTGCATATCTTCGTCATTTTCTTGGGAGACCTACAGACTCGGGTCCTCTCATAGCTTATTCTAACTACCATGGGTTGTCACGGCAGCTGGTGGATGGACACGCGTTACACATCCTAACCTTACCTGCTTCTCACCTTATAGCTTCTAATTCAAATGACAAGCAAGCAATGCCCCTACCCGCACTAATGGAACACTAGTAACTCAAATGCACCCCGTACGGTACCTTACACTGGTTTACGCACTCACTTAGCTCTTTAGTGAGAATATTATTACGGTCCTGCTGAAAATCCCATGAACCCCCCTATCTCCACCAAAACAAATAAGTCTGTATTTGCTGCACATAGCAATTTTATTATTCAAAAGTAAGATATAACAGTTAGAACTGGAGTAAAATGATAGTATACAGCAGATGCACGTGGTACATGTCTTCATCGATTAACTGAAATAGAGAATGCGGATATTAGCTTAACAGGTTTATTTAGAAAGACTATTGTCTAATTTGAACTTACTGCGTGAGAAAGTTATACTGGAACTACGAATGTTGTAGAAATAGAGTTTCTCGGGGCGTACGAAGCACTCAGACTGTAAGACAATTGTCCGAAAATAATTCGAATATGAAGGTGAAAATTTGCAGGTACTTTTCATCGTAAGGGTGAACATACAGGTACCAGTTGACATCATACAGTAAAAAATACACAAATTTGAGAGTGGTGAAATATGATCTATAAAAAGTGAGCTTAATAACAGTTAATTACCTTTTTACTCCCTGATCATGACCTTTCGGCTTCCTTTTATGGCCAAAACAGCAAACATACACTACACACTGGTAGCAGATTTCCGGCTTTTCAATGTTAAGCTTGCTTTAATGCACTGAGTAATGAGTACAACCCCTCTATTACTGCTATATGGCATATTTTTCATAACAAACCCTCTGCAATAGATTGGTAGCATCTGTGACTTCATCTATAGTTGTCGGAAGTCTGGGTCCTTTCGAAATCAATACCGATATACCGTACTGCTGGGCACTCTGTATTAGTTTGACTCGTTGGTGGGATAGTGTTGTCCACAATACTGAAGAAAATTAAAAACCGGAGATTGTTTCCATTCATTTTGCCGATAACATCATAAAGGACAGTTAGGAACGTACATGCGAACAGTTAGAGTCACAGGCGGCAGCAACAATTATTTTAGCTAAATAAAAACGAACTTCGGCTTCGGATATCTAGAAAACAAGGTAAAACATAACCGATTGTCGTTTAAAAACGTAAGGTCTTACGTTAGTACCATCCAGCTTAGCTGGGTAAATACAGTGACTTCAGTAGCAGCAGGTAAAACCCAGAAAACAAAGCAAAATCAGAAAAAATTTCGCTCCAACGTCCAGCGTATTACACTAACTTCTGAATTTTAGCACACTGAAACATTAAATTCTGAAGAAAGCCGGCCGACATTTTATAACACAAGACTAGCTAGATTGCCTGAAGAAATACATTGACTTGAGTAGAAGCAGCAAAAACCCAGAAAACATCGCTGATTCGAAATAAACTTCACACCAACATATAGAACATTACACTAACTGCGGCATTTTAGTACACTGAGACATTAAATTACATAGCTACACAAAAGAAATAGCTGAAAGAAGCACAGAACGCAGAAAGCCGACGCCTCATTCTGATTGGTTGCTAAGCTGAAGGGCACATTTACGAAATTAAGTTGCGTTTAATTGCAGCCGTAGAAAGTATTCCCATGATCCAATATACTATGCCACTCCCCCCAGTTCTAAGTATTTTCCTTGAGGCATGTGTTAGGAACGAGTATAGATAAGTATTTGAAGGAGTGGTCAGGAGTGTTTAGGATGATATAAGTCGTTAGGTCACCTCTAGGACGCCTGTAAACCGAAGATCTGAAGCACTATACACGAATTTACAAGTTGCGTCCTCAAAGTGATTACGTGGCTAACGCTCGCATACATTTCAGTGTTTTTTATATCTTTGGAGTGACGGAGAATATATCATATTTACACATTTTAAATGAAGCTTAATAAAACTTAAATACTAGCTGAAACGTTCTATTACCAAACTGAACAAACGTACTCTCTGACACCACCAGTGCGATATTTGCTCAAAAACACTTTTGTCACATCTGGCATAAAACTTTAGATTATAGGGTACCAAGATTCTTAGGTCTCCTTCAACTTCAGACATCTCTAGAAGAAAATTACCCACGTTGTACATGTAGTGTGCAACATGTCTCAAATGAACTATTTAACACTTTGAAGTTTTGAAAGAAAGTGATTGTTGTCCGCACAACTGTTAGGTCGAGTAAGATCCTCCAGAAGTGCCAACTTATTATCTTGGTTGCATACTTCCCTCCAAAGTTTGATATGGTCAGCGAAGAGTGATGACTCAAATGATACTTGGAGAAACAGGTCGTCCTTTTGGTGTGTAAAGTGAACGGGTCCTAGCACTGATCCCGGAGAAACCGCACCAAGACATTCTGTAGCCTGAAAAAGATTTAGATTCACCCTGACCCTAAATGTAGATCATTCAGATGTGAGGTAAACCGGCTCATTAATGACTGCTTGATCCCTAACAGTTTGAGATTG